AGGGGGTAGTCCATGAGCAACCCTGATACACAATAGTATGGTTTGTTTGATGGTACACTATTGTGTCCAGCTGCTTCCTGAGGTGATTGTTTTTTTTCAACAATTTCCTTTTCCTTTTCCTTTGCTAAAGTTTGTTTCCTTTTACTTAGCTTCATTTTTTCTTGGAATCAAAACCAAAGGCTTTCCAAAGGATTAGTTTCAGCCAAGCAAAAAAAACATGAATGATCATGATACACAATAGTATGGTTTGTTTGAGGGTACACTATTGTGTCCAGCTGCTTCCTGAGGTGATTTTGTTTTTTAACATTTCCTTTACATTTTCCTTTGCTAAAGCTTTTTTTATTTTCTCAATTAATTAGTTTCTTTTATTTAGAATTCTCAGAAATGCACAATTTCCCAAAATATATGATGCCTTATTAAAACCCAATTAAAAAAACATGACTCAAACAATTTTTCAAGGGGGTAGTCCATGAGCAACCCTGATACACAATAGTGTGGTTTGTTTGGGGGTACACTATTGTGTCCAGCTGCTTCCTGAGGTGATTGTTTTTTTTCAATAATTTCCTTTTCCTTTTCCTTTGCTAAAATTTGTTTCCTTTTACTTAGCTTCATTTTTCTTGGAATCAAAACCAAAGGCTTTCCAAAGGATTAGTTTCAGCCAAGCAAAAAAAAACATGAATGATCATGATACGCAATAGTATGGTTTGTTTGAGGGTACACTATTGTGTCCAGCTGCTTTCCTGGGTCATGATTTTTTTGATTTTTTCAATCATTTCCTTTACCTTTTCCTTTGCTAGCTAAAGTATTTTCCTTTCAATTAATTTCTTTCTTAATTTCTTTCATTTGAAATGCTCAGAATGACCAGTTTCCCAAAATATATGATGCCTTATTAAAATCCAATTAACAAACATCACTCAAACAATTTTTCAAGGGTGTAGTCCATGAGCAACCCTGATATACAATAGTGTGGTTTGTTTGGGGGTACACTATTGTGTCCAGCTACTTCCTGAGGTTATGTTTTTTTTTGATTTTTTCAATTATTTCCTCTACCTTTTCTTTTGCTAGCTAAAATATTTTCCTTTCAATTAATTCCTTTCTTAATTTCTTTCATTTGAAATTTTCAGAAATGATCAGTTTCCCAAAATATATGACGCCTTATTAAAACCCAATTAAAAAACATCATTCAAACAATTTTTCAAGAAGGTAGTCCATGAGCAACCCTGATACACAATAGTGTGGTTTGTTTGGGGGTACACTATTGTGTCCAGCTGCTTCCTGAGGTTATGTTTTTTTTTGATTTTTTCAATTATTTCCTTTACCTTTTCTTTTGTTAGTTAAAGCGTTTTCCTTTCAATTAATTCCTTTCTTAGTTTCTTTTATTTGAAATTCCCAGAATGACAAATTTCCCAAAATATATGATGCCTTATTAAAACCCAATTAAAAAATATCACTCAAACAATTTTTCAAGGGGGTAGTCCATGAGTAACCCTGATACACAATAGTATGGTTTGTTTGAGGGTACACTATTGTGTCCAGCTGCTTCCTGAGGTTATATTTTTTTTCCAGCATTTCCTTTCCCTTTTCCTTTACTAAAGTTTGTTTCCTTTTACTTAGCTTCATTCTTCTTGGAATCAAAACCCAACAGGCTTTTCCAAGGATTAGTTTCATGCCACCAAACAAACAGAATGACATCATGATACACATAGTAAATGGTTTGTTTGAGGGTCCACTATAAACACTGATTGTTTCGCCAGCTGCTTCTGGTGATTTTGTTTTTTATCATCCCCTTAACTTTTCCTTTTGCTAAAGTTTAGTCTTTTATTTTCTCAATAGTCTTTTTCATTTAGAATTCTCAGAAATGCCTAATTTCCGAAAAAATATAATTATGCCTTAGTAAACCCAATTAAAACATGACTCAAACAATTTTTTCAGAGGGTAGTCCATGAGCACCCTGATACACATAGTATGGTTTGTTGAGGTACACTATTGTGTCCAGCTTCTTCCTGAGGTTATATTTTTTTTTCAAGCATTTCCTTTCCCTTTTTCCTTTACTAAAGGTTTGTTTCCTTTTACCTTCAGCTTCATTCTTCTTGGAATCAACGCAAAGGCCTTTCCAAAGGATTAGTTTCAGCCAAGCAAAAAAAAACATGAATGATCCTGATACACAATAGTATGGTTTGTTTGAGGGTACACTATTGTGTCCAGCTTCTTCCTGAGGTGAAAAAACAATCATCCATCCAAGTAATTATTTTAAAGGATATCAAATCTAAATTGATTCACATCTGCTAAATTCAATCTTAGTCCATGCTGCTAAGTTCAATCTCAGTAATTAATTAATTATCTTAGTGCTTGCAACTCTACCCAACCCCATCACTTTCCCAGCCATCTTTTGCCAGTGCGTCCTGCTGATAGTCACATGCTGAGACATTCAAAAATCATTAAGCCTTGCTTAGCTCAATGTAAAAGAAAATCACTCAAGCTTGCTGAAGACCTTAATGCTGAGTGAGGTAGGCAGAATGCTGAGGTCCTGTCAGGGACAAGAAACTGATAGCAAAACTGAAAGACCCATTATTTGACACTAAACTCAGTGATGTTAATGTCCAACATTACCCATTACTTATGCTAAAGTAATCAATTAATTAACTAAATAATTGATTAATTATTGATTCATTAATTAGTTAATTAAGTAATTAACTAGCTAATTAATTAATTAATTAATTAATTAATTAATCAATTAATTATTCTAAACTGCAACAACAACCAGCAGCAGTGGCAAAACCACCCACATCACTTCAGAGCTGCACTCATTTTTTCCTGCCAGCTAAGTAATTCTTCACAATGCCTCTGGTATAATTACTCAGGAAGTGACTAAGGCTTCTAATTAACTATATATCTGCTCAGCAGTCATGCACCTGAGTTAATTATACATCCACAACTTCCTTCACTGAGTCCTGAGGCTTGTGATCAATCTGAGGAGACTTTTGCATCAGCTGCCTGAGATCTAGTTCACTCATTTGATGAGTTTCCATGAACTTTCTCAGAGCGTCCTTATTCACAAGATCCTGAGACAGCTTCTGCTCCCAGTAGGACTGAGATCTTTTCACTGAGAGTTGAAGCTCAGCATGCAAAGCCCTGAGCTCACCTTGCTCCTCTTCCATGTTCTTAGCATATTTCCTGAGCCTAAGCATTGTGAGCTCCTGAGATTCAAGTGCCTGCTCAAGTAGAAGAATCTTGGACTTCATGTCCTCAATCAGGTCAGGTACATTGTCCAAGTCACTGAGCTTCTGATCTGATTCTGAGTTGTCCAGGAGCTTGTCAATCTCATTGATGTTCAGCTTTTGGAGCTCAGACTTGACATAGCCCTGAGCATCATTGGCAGTCCTGATAGGCTGAGGCTTCCAAACTGAGCTTCTCTGCATATTTGATAAAGCAGCATCCTGATGAGGTCTGCCTGAGCCCTTCCCTGTTGATGAAGAAGCAGTTGCTGCTGAGAATCCAGCTGGTGGATCAGGCTCAGGAGGCTTGAACTGAGCTTGTCTGAACTGAGGAGCTACAAATGCACCCCAAGGCAATGGGTCCATTCTGAGCACCTCAGTGTAATATCTTTGAACCACTTCCTGAGACCAGCCATTGTGTTCCTGCAGGGTTGCAAATGGTGTCCATGAAAAAAATGACAACTATATCAGTTAATTAATGCTCATTGTCCTATGCTAAAACACACAAACACACACCAACAAAAAAAAAATCATCCATTTGTTCAACCCAGGCACAGAGCATTCTCTACATCCTGATTGCCAGGGAATTCTGCTGAGGAAGACTTGATGGCCATTGCCACAGTCAACCTTAGGCTCCCAAAGGTATCTAGGATACTCCACAATGTTTTCTGAGTCCATGTTGTTGAAGAGTGCTCAGCATGAGGGTTCCTGAGGTGGATCATTGGGCTGAAGCTGGTAGCGCCCTTGGCCACCCTTCTGAGTCCACAAAACCTTGTCAGGCACCTCATCAGGCTTCTCTTCAAACATAGGATGAGGTTTGCCTGAGCCTCTCCCATGATAGTCAAAGAAAGACATAGCTGAGATGATATGGAGCAAAGGTTGATTAGTCCTGGCCCTTAGATTTGAGCCTTAAAAAGCTGAGGAATCACATAGACATGCACAAATATGAACATGCTACAACTTCATTGGTTAATTAATTAGCTAATTACTCAATTATAAGAAACTTAAACATGCATAAGCATGCTAATTAATTAATTACTTGATTAATTAATTAATTAATCAAAATTGCCAAAAGTCTAAGATTATGTCCAAGCTGAGCACTAATCCCACACCACCAGAAACACCCTTCAGTCCTCTAGGGCTCTTCAGTCTTGGCCTTCTTGGACTTGGGCTCAGCATCTGAGGATGGATCTGATGCTGAATCATCACTGCTCATAGGCTGAGAGTCTAGGACCTGAGAATCATCAACCAGCTCCTGGGACCCAAAGGGTGTACCTGATGGTGCTTCATCATCACTCCCCATAGGCTGAGAGTCTAAGACCTGAGAGTCCTTAGCCACCTCCATCACCTCATGGTCAGGCTGTGCATTCAACTCCTTTTCCATATCCTGAAACTTGCTGAGGGTAGCATCAAATGTATCAGACTTAGCAGGTTGGGCAGGCTGGGCAGGCTGAGGAAGAGGGATACACTCTGATGGCCAAACATCCTGAGCATCCTGAAGAGCTGTCTTGAGAATCCTAATCCATTGCCCCTGAGTGATCTTTGGGTAACCCTTGAAGTCTTTGAAGATCTGACTGAGTTCATTCCTGAAACTGAGCATCACCCAATCAGGCACAGCATCAGGATCCTCAAGCTGAACCAACTGCTGAGTGTAGTACTTCTGCAGCATGTCCACAAACTGTCCCTGAGAGCACCTGAGCTTCACCTTGATGTCAGCCATCTCAGCTGTCAGAGCCACCACCTTCATGGAGTTGCTTAAAGAACCACCCAAAAATAAAACTCATTAACTAATTCATTAATGGATTTCCCATTGGGAAACAAAAAAACAAATCCAAGCCTTAGGACTCAAAGAGAATTTCTCCAGAGTCAGGATATTCCTGAGGTTGGAAAACCATTCCACAAGATGATAATTGTACTCCTTCCTGAGCTTGTCCATCTCAGTGTTGAATTGCTCCATGGCTGAGCTGATGGGATGCAAAGAAGCTGGCTAGAATGGGCTTGAGCCTTCACAAGCAAAGAAATAAATCACCCCATGTGAGATGAAAATGGATTGAAATCAAATGAAAAGCAATTCCTTTGTTAATTAATAAATTAAGTTGAAATCAATTCAAAGTAAAGTGAAAATCAATTGAAAAACAATTTAATTAAACAAATTGAAAATCAATCGAAATTAATTTGAAATCATTTGAAATCAATTGAACATCAGTTGAAAATGAATTGAAATCAATTGCAATCAAAACCAAAGGCTTTCCAAAGGATGAGTTTCAGCCAAGCAAAAAAAAAATATGAATGATCATGATACACAATAGTATGGTTTGTTTGAGGGTACACTATTGTGTCCAGCTGCTTCCTGAGGTTATGTTTTTTTTTCAAGCATTTCCTTTCCCTTTTCATTTACTAAAGTTTGTTTCCTTTTACTTAGCTTCATCCTTCTTGGAATCAAAACCAAAGGCTTTCCAAAGGATCAGTTTTAGCCAAGCAAAAAAAACATGAATGATCCTGATACACAATAGTATGGTTTGTTTGAGGGTACACTATTGTGTCCAGCTGCTTTCTGAGGTGATGTTGTTTTTTAACATTCCCTTTGCATTTTCCTTTGCTAAAGCTTTTTTTATTTTCTCAATTAGTTTCTTTTATTTAGAATTCTCAGAAATGCTCAATTTACCAAAATATATGATGCCTTATTAAAACCCAATTAAAAAACATCACTCAAACAATTTTTCAAGGGGGTAGTCCATGAGCAACCCTGATACACAATAGTGTGGTTTGTTTGGGGGTACACTATTGTGTCCAGCTGCTTCCTGAGGTGATGTTGTTTTTTAACATTTCCTTTGCATTTTCCTTTGCTAAAGTTTGTTCCTTTTACTTAGCTTCATTTTTTCTTGGAGCAAAACCAAAGGCTTTCCAAGGATTAGTTTCAGCCAGCAAAAAAAAACATGATGATCTGATACACATAGTATGGTTTGTTTGAGGTACCTATGTTTCTCAGCTGCGTTCCTGAGGTGATTCTGTTTTTTAAAAACATTTCCTTTAGCATTTTCCTTGCTAAAGCTTTTTTTATTTCCATTAATTAGTTTCTTTTATTTAGAATCTCAGAAATGCACAATTCCAAAAAAAAAAAAAAAAAAAAAAAAAAAAAACAAATAATATGAATGCCTTATTAAAAAACCCAATTAAAAAACATGACTCAACAATTTTTCAAGGGGTAGTCCATGAGCAACCCTTATCACAATAGTGTGGTTTGGGGGCGGTGGGGTACCACTAACTATTGTGTCCAGCTGCTTCCTGAGGTTATGTTTTTTTTTCAAGCATTTCCTTTCCCTTTTCATTTACTAAAGTTTGTTTCCTTTTACTTAGCTTCATCCTTCTTGGAATCAAAACCAAAGGCTTTCCAAAGGATCAGTTTTAGCCAAGCAAAAAAAACATGAATGATCCTGATACACAATAGTATGGTTTGTTTGAGGGTACACTATTGTGTCCAGCTGCTTTCTGAGGTGATGTTGTTTTTTAACATTCCCTTTGCATTTTCCTTTGCTAAAGCTTTTTTTATTTTCTCAATTAGTTTCTTTTATTTAGAATTCTCAGAAATGCTCAATTTACCAAAATATATGATGCCTTATTAAAACCCAATTAAAAAACATCACTCAAACAATTTTTCAAGGGGGTAGTCCATGAGCAACCCTGATACACAATAGTGTGGTTTGTTTGGGGGTACACTATTGTGTCCAGCTGCTTCCTGAGGTGATGTTGTTTTTTAACATTTCCTTTGCATTTTCCTTTGCTAAAGCTTTTTTTCCTTTTTACTTAGCTTCATTTTTCTTAGATCAAAAACCAAAGGCTTTCAATGATTATTGTCATCCAAGCAAAAAAAAATGAATGCTCATTATACGCAATAGTGTGGTTTGTTTGGAGGGTACACTATTGTGTCCAGCTGCTTTCCTGAGGTCATGATTTTTTTTGATTTGTTCAATCATTTCCTTTACCTTTTCCTTTGCTAGCTAAAGTGTTTTCCTTTTCAATTAATTTCTTTCTTAGTTTCTTTCATTTGAAATTCTCAGAAATGACCAGTTTCCCAAAATATATGATGCCTTATTAAAACCCAATTAAAAAACATGACTCAAACAATTTTTCAAGGGTGTAGTCCATGAGCAACCCTGATACACAATAGTGTGGTTTGTTTGGGGGCACACTATTGTGTCCAGCTGCTTCCTGAGGTCATGTTTTTTGATTTTTTCAATCATTTCCTTTACCTTTTCTTTTGCTAGATAAAGTGTTTTCCTTTCAATTAATTCCTTTCTTAGTTTCTTTCATTTGAAATTCTCAGAAATGATCAGTTTCCCAAAATATATGATGCCTTATTAAAACCCAATTAAAAAACATCACTCAAACAATTTTTCAAGGGGGTAGTCCATGAGCAACCCTGATACAGAATAGTGTGGTTTGTTTGGAGGGTACACTATTGTGTCCAGCTGCTTTCCTGAGGTTATGTTTTTTTTTTTGATTTTTTCAATCATTTCCTTTACCTTTTCCTTTGCTAGCTAAAGTGTTTTCCTTTCAATTAATTTCTTTCTTAGTTTCTTTCATTTGAAATTCTCAGAAATGACCAGTTTCCCAAAATATATGATGCCTTATTAAAACCCAATTAAAACACATCACCCAAACAATTTTTCAAGGAGGTAGTCCATGAGCAACCCTGATACACAATAGTGTGGTTTGTTTGAGGGTACACTATTGTGTCCTGCTGCTTCCTGAGGTCATGTTTTTTTGATTTTTTCAATCATTTCCTTTACCTTTTCCTTTGCTAAAGTTTTTTCCTTTTAATTAATTAATTACTTCTTAGTTTCTTTCATTTGATATTCTCAGAAATGCCCAGTTTCCCAAAATATCGTGTGGTTTGTTTGGGGGTACACTATTGTGTCCAGCTGCTTCCTGAAGAGATTTTCTAGCACTGACTCAATTATATCAGAATGAAAGTGAAAGCCACTGAGTTTTTATCAGTGCAAAGCTGCAAATCACTCACTCTCAGTAGAGCTTCAGGCAGGAGCAGCTGATGTTGCTGAGGTAGATGCAGCTGAGCTCGAGGAAATAGGTTCTAAAGATGAGCTTGCTGAGATAGCTAGGGTGGCTGACTTGAGCAGTTGCTGAAGATCCTCAGGCCCTGTGCTGAGAAAGGGCAACTTCTTGGCCTTGGCAGCCTCTGAGTGCAGGTGGTACCTGAGGCATTTGTAGGCATCACAGCTCAGGCAGCCTGATTGCCATCTGCACTTAGAACATTTTCCCAAGGCATGCTCCAGGAGCCTGACCTTGTGAACTGATTCCTCAGAGAGGTTTTTCCAGGTGAACCTCACTGAGTTCTTGTCCAGCTGCTGCTGAGCAGTAATGTAGGCAACTGAGGTGATGTCCTTGAGCTTAGAAAGCTTTACCTTAGCTTTTTCTTGTTGCTCAGCAATCTTAGCCCTCTCAAGTAGAAATTTATCCCATCTGATCTTGGCAGCATCAGTGATAAGTTTTTGCTCAGCAATGACCTTGTTGCAAGCAATCTCCAACCTCTGCTTCCAGTTCTTCCACCCTGTCTCAGGCCAAACTGAGAGCCACTCTCCTCTGAAAAGCCTGATTTCTTCCTCCATGTAGTGAAGCACATAGCAGCCACAGGCATTGCTGCCCACAGGCTGCTTGGCAGAGTTGCTGAGTGGTGGAAGGATGAACTGAGGGTCAAGCAAGTTCCACATGAGGATCTGCTGAGGATGAGATTCTTCATGCTCTTTGCTGAGGGAGTCATACCTCCTCCAAGTGATGGGTTGCCCAGTGCCTTCCCTCTGAGCTACCAGCAAAGTCCAGTGAAACTGAGAATACACTGGAACCAGAAGAAGCCTGGTGCTCTCAGTCCAGCTGAGCTGCAAGCCTTGCTTCAAGCCATCCAGGTGCTCTGAGTCCTCAGTCTCAAGAATCATCTTGCTCAGGATGGGATCAATACAATGCACCCCAATTTCCTCTGGCTGAGGGACATTAGCCTTCTTGAAGCACCAGCTGAGAAGACACCAGCCAAACCAAAGGTGCTGATCCTCCATCTCAGGTATGTTGGCAGGGCATGGCAACACTGAGTGAGTGGACCATTCCTCAGGGCCCATGCCAAGCTGATCATCAGGGTTGCAGCTCAGTTGGGACAGCCATAACTTGAGGTCATTCTTGCTGAGCTGGCTCCACTTAGGCCACTGAACTCTTGCAACAAAAGGCTTATAGCTTTTGAGTTGCAGCCACTCAGGCTTAATCTGAAAGACTCCTGAGGTAGTGACCATGGTGTATCACCTTTGAGAGTGATCTTGCCTTCCTTGCCAAAGTGAAGCTTGCCTGCAGCATCTGAGGTGACAACAGCTTCCTGCATCAGAAGGGGGTCATCAGAATTTGGTGCTTCCTGAGGAGCCTCAGCAGGAGGAGGCAAAGGTGGTGGTGCCTTAGTTGCTTCCTCCTCACAAGTCTTCTTGAGCTCAGCATCTGAGATGGCTTGCTTCTGCTCCTCAGTTTTCTTAGCAGCTTTCTTCAAGGCTTTGAACTTAGCTGAGGGCTTGTTTTTGGCTGAGGGCTTGTTCTTCAAAGACTGTTTGAAGGCATGGCTGAGCTTTTTCTTGCCTTGCTTCTGCTTCACCTCAGGCACCATCTCTGAGAAAGCTTCTTGTCTGCTTTGGGAACCAATTTTCTCAGATGCCTGTGCCACAATCTTCTGCCTGTGTTTTCTGAGCCACTTGTTTGCATGTCTTGCCCTGAGCCTCTTAGCCACATCTCTTTCCTTCTTTGCTTGGTACTCAGCTGTGCCCATTCTTCTGAATTGAGCTCTTCTGAGGGCAGGATGGATTCTCAGGGACAAGGAGTTCTGAAGCTCTAGCTCCAAGTCATCAGCAATGGCATCCTCTATCTCAGGCTTCTTCTCCTCTTCATCTAACTCTTTGTCATCCTCAGGAT